TATTTTACATATGCGAACCTGTAATATTACAAGTCTTCATCTGTTATTTTACATATACGAACCAGTCTAGTTACAAGTCTCCATCTGTTATCTTACATATGCGAACATGTAATGTTACAAATTTCTATCTGTTATTTTACATATGCGAACCAGTCTAGTTACAAGTCTCCATCTGTTATTTTACAAATAGAACCTATCTAGTTACAAGCTTCCATCTGTTGTTTTACATATGTGAACCTGTAATGTTACAAGTCTCCATATGTTATTTTACATATACGAACTAGTCTAGTGACAAGCCCCCATCTGTTATCTTACGTATGCGAACCTGTAATGTTACAAGTCTCCATCTGTTATTTAATATATTCAAACCATTCTAGTTACAAGTTTCCATATGTTATTTTACAAATGGAACCTGTCTAGTTACAAGTTTCCATCTGTTGTTGTACGGATGACAACCTGTAATGTTACAAGTCTCTATCTGTTATTTTACATATGCGAACCAGTCTAACTACAAGTCTCCACTGTTAGTTTACAAATGGAACTTGTCTGGTTACAAGCTTCCATCTGTTGTTTTACAGATGGTAACCTGTAATGTTACAAGTCTCCATTTGTTATTTTACATATGTGAACCAGTCTAGTTACAAGCCTCCATCTGTTATCTTACATATGGGAACTTGTCATGTTACAAGCCTCTATCTGTTCCTTAATTTCGGGTGTGTTCTGGATATAATTAGATTAAAGTCAAAACACAAAAGTTATAGCTCCGTCTCTTAGTTTTCCAACAAATTTTGAATCGTGCCAATTCGAGTTTCCTAGCTGGAGATATTAATTTTTTACCGAAACTGTTCTTGTTGTAAAATTTTTTAATAGAAGCAGTACTTTGCAGCACCAGTTTCGGTAAAATATTCATATCTAGAGTTACGGAACTCGGATTGGGACAATTCAAAATTCCTTGGAAACCTAAGAGAATGTGATACAACTTTCATGTTTTGACTTTAATCTAATTATGAACAGAACGCACTCGAAATTAAAGAGAACAAAAATTGTGTTTTTTTTACAAGCGGCAATCTGTCTGTTTGCAAGCGCTCATCCGTTATTTTACAGACGGGAACTATCTAGTTACAAACTTTCATATATTATTTTATAGACGGGAACCTGTTTCGTTGTTATAAGTCACTATCTGTTATTTTACATACTGGAATATATTTTGTTACGGGCCTCAATATGTGTTTTTACAAAAGAGAATCCGTCTCGTTATAGGACTCCATCTGTTTCTTAATTTTGGATGCGTTCTGGGTATAATTAGATTAAAGTCAAAATACAAAAGTTGTAGCTCTGTCTCTTAGCTTTCCAATAAATTTTAAATTGTGCCAATCCGAGCTTCCTAGCTAGAGATATCAATTTTTTACCGAAACTATTCTTGTTGTAAAATTTTTTAATAGAAACAGTACTTTGTAGCACCAGTTTCGTTAAAAGATTCATATCTGGAGTTAGGAAACTTGGATTGGGACGATTCAAAATTTCATGGAAGGCTAAGAGAATGGGTTACAACTTTCATGTTTTGACTTTAATCAAATTATGAACAGAACGCACTCGAAATTAAAGAGAACCAAAACTGTGTTTTTTTTACAAGCGGCAATTTGTCTATTTACAATCACTCATCCGTTATTTTACAGATGGGAACCTGTCTAGTTACAAACATCCATATGTTATTTTACAGATGCGAACCTGTTTCTTTGTTACAAGCCACCATCTGTTATTTTACATACGGGAATATGTCTTGTTACAAATGTAAGATTTTACTGTAAAATTTCAGATTATGTTTCTTCAATTTTGATTACTTTCTAGGAAGTATTGGATTATAATTTAAACATGAAAGTTGCAGCTCTCTCTCTCTCTTAGCTTTTCAATGCCTCAAGAATCAGATTAATCCAAATTTTGTAGCTTAAGTTATGACATTTTTTCCCAAAACAGCAGCAAGCTGTCAACTGCTCTACAACTGCAAAAATGTAAAATTTTGCTGTAAAATTTTAGATTAATTTCTTCAATTTCGAGTACTTTCTGGGACGAATTGGATTATGATTTAAACATAAAAGTTGCAGCTCTCTCTCTTAACTTTCCAATGCCTCAAGAATCAGCTCATTCTGAATTTTGTAACTCAAGTTATGATATTTTTTCCAAAATAGCCACAATTTGTCAACTGCTGCTATTGCTCTTAGCAATACCAGTTTCAGTAAAAAAATCATATATCAAGTTAGAAAACTTAAATTTGGGCAATTCAAAATTTCTTAGAAAGTTAAAAGAAGGAACTACAACTTTCATGTTTTAATTTTTTTCTAATGATGCCCATAACACACCCAAAATTGAAGAAATACAAGCTGGTATCTATAAATGCAATAACAGATTTTTGCAGTAATTTGTTCTGTTACAATCACACATCTATTTTTTGATAATTAGGTATTTGTTATTTTATAATCACTGATCCGTTATGCCCAGAACGCATTTGAAATTAAAGGGTATTTTAGGTATAAAAATTACCTTTACTGGGTAATTTTTTAAGATATGGATTTTTTTGAAATTGTTTTTACTTTTGGCCTTAAGGGTAAATATTTTTATTTAACTTTTCTTTTTTGTAATTACCCCTAAATTTTTTATATTGACTCTAATTTATTGGGATTCTCACACTAAAATTTTCTCACTCCGAACTTTTCTAACTTTCTCTTTTCAAAATTTGAACTTTCATTTTCTAAAATTTTTTCTCTATTTTTTTAACTCTCTCCCTAAAATTTTATTACTCTAAATTTTTTGAGCTTTCCTCCTTTATTTTTTATAATTTTTATCTATGAAACTTTATCTTTCTAATTTTTCAAATTTTCTCTCTAAAACTTCTGTTATCGAATCTTTAACTTTCCTTTTCTAAAATTGTTTTCTCTTTAGACCTTTCTCCAAATTCTTCTCTCAGAAATTTTTTATTTCTAATATTTTCCAACTTTCTCTCCCTATTTTTTCAAACACTGTCCTTAAAATGTTTCAATTTTTAAAAAGAAATTTGAACTTTTTTTCTCTAAATTTTCTTTTATAAATGTTAATAATAACTTACAATATATTAAAAAATGAAGAGTTAAAATTTTAAACATTACATGCGACGAAGTAAAATTTTCAAATATCGCTTTTCTTTGTGATAGATGACGGCATCTCTGTTTGTGCTGTTCACATTGTATTTTTACACACCAATTTATGATGATAGAATACGGAAGGTTGGCGTAAAATATGTTAAGCGAATTAAATAGAATACGAAATTTCTACAAGTACAATTTGTTTAATTATTAAAAATATGAATGTCAAAGAAATGGTTAAAAGGAATATATATATTTTTTAATATAACTTCCTGTAACAAGTTTTAGTGTCATTGAATATTACGGGAATAATACTCAAAAAAGTATATTGATAATTAGAGAATTATTTTATTTTTTTTACAAATGACAAAATATATAAATACATAATTTAGAATTTAATAATTTCAAAATTAAAATGCATGAATAAAGATACATATTTATAAAAAGATAAGATATCAATTGATATCAGTGTAAGTATAAAAAACTTACATAAAAACTTACACCACTGATTTGTTTAAAATCAACGAATGAAATTAATTAATATTTTAAAAAATTAAATAACCGCAAATTAGTTGTTAAAAAATAACTATAATTAATTATAGAATTGTAAATATTATATAGCAAAATTTTAGCTTTGCGTGTTTAGCACAACGTCTACAAGAATTCAATGATTTTATGGAGGAAAATTATAATTTAATATTAATAAAACTAATTATTACTCGCATATATTATAACAACTTGGATTTAAGTTGGCAAACTTCTAAACGGAAAGAGGGGTTCAAGATGGATGACGCAGAGGAGAAAGCAAGTTGTGGTTGTTGAGGATGTTGGTTATGTTTTGCTTCCCGTTGTCAATCCTCAGGAAATTACAACTTGCAGTTGTTTAATGTAGGAAGCACTCACAAGCAAGGAATTCATTAGAATCTCACATTAAAGTTGCTACCTAGACACTTTTTGTCTGTTCTTCCTGTTCCTGACACTTAAATTTGATGAAAGCATGGCAACCAATGAAATAACTTTATGTTTGTTGAAAGGGTCTATGTTGTTGTTCGTATTGAGGAGACCCAAATGCATAATTTTTTTTTTTCTATTTTGACAACCATCAAGCAAGAAACGTTTCAAACATTTAAAAATAAGAAATAAATGGTTGGTGTGTTTAGTTGCCAGAATCTTTAAACAAAAATAAAAATCAACCCATAAACTTCGGCTATAAAAGGAAAGGCTAGTGCCCTCCTGAGAGAGACACCAAAAGCCTAGTGCTCGCAGGCAATTGTAAAGAAGAACCTAAGATAGCCATTGCCAAACTCTCATATCCATGGCAAACAATTCATCTGCCAATTGTTTTTCTTCCCAGGTCAGCAATATATAAATACATATATATATATATATATGTATATGTGTATGTATATACTGATATCTTGGTTTCGTCAAAATCTTGATTTTTCAAGGAGTGTTTCAATAGGTCTCTCAGAGTAAGCTTTTAAATATATTTACTATTTTGCATGCGAATTCTTTCTGGATTATTAAAAATAAAAGGAAATATAACTACAAGCTCAAAACCCATTTATTTGAAAAAAAAATAATATACAAACATCTCGAGACTTTTATGTCTCTAAAAAAGAAACTCACCATTTTCTAAGTAATTTTAAGTTAAAAAATTATAGTTTAAGAAAACAACACAAGAACATCTACTAATTAAGTTACCAGGTACCAAAAAATGCTACTAAAGCATCAGTTATACTTTATGGAGATGGAAATTGAAGGGAGAGAGATGATTCAACTAATTTTAAGTTGTCGATAAGTAACATATGGACTAATTTATAAAAAAATGAAAATAAAAAGGTCAATTAAATATAAATTGTCTTTATTTTACCTTTTCCACCCATGTTCCAGGTTGCAAGGTAAGGTTGCGATCATCACCGGAGCCGCCACCGGCATCGGCGAGTGCATGGCCAGAGTCTTCGTCAAGCACGGTGCCAAGGTCATTGTTGCCGATATCTTGGACGGACCCGGCAGCCGAGTCTGCGCGGAGCTGGGCCAAGACGTCGCCACTTTTGTCCACTGTGACGTGACCAACGAATCCGACGTCGAAGCCGCTGTCAACACCGCCATTTCCCTCCACGGAAAGCTCGATATCATGGTCAACAACGCGGCTATCGCTGAGGAACCCAAGCTCAGCATCCTCGACAATGACAAGGCCGAGTTCGAGCGCGTGGTCGCTGTCAACCTCACCGGCGCATTCCTCGGCGCAAAGCACGCGGCTAGAGCCATGATCCCAGCCCAGTGCGGTAGCATCATCACGGTTGGCAGCGTGTGCTCGGCCGTTGGAGGCGTGGCCACCCACTCGTACACGAGCTCGAAGCACGCGGTGGTGGGGCTGACAAAGAACGTGGCAGCAGAGCTCGGTGAATATGGGATTAGGGTAAATTGTTTGTCGCCCTACTTTATTCAGACAAAGCTAACGGTTGATTTGTTCAAGATGGACTACAGGGAGGCTTTGCGGGTTTATTCGAATCTGAAGGGGGTGGCGCTCCGGCCGGAGGACGTGGCGGATGCGGCGGTGTTTCTGGGAAGTGATGACTCGAGGTATGTGAGCGGGCACAATTTGGCGCTTGATGGGGGTTTCACTGCCATAAACCCCGCTTTTGGCTTGTTTGCAAAGACAAAAGTGATGGATTAGACCTCCGTTTGTGGGCTGTTAAATAAAGTTGCGCAAAGCTTGACTTTTTGAGCTTTTTGCTATTAGCTTTTCCACGTTTCAAAGTGAGAAAGGCAAACTGTAAAAAGCAAAAATAGTTAAACTCTACGTAATGTATGCAGGAATAATATTTCATTATGGCCTTGATCAGAAGCAATTTGTTGCAGAGATTCTGAGGGTGGTCTGGTGCAATGTCTATTAATTAATAATGCTCTTGTCGTTTTCTTTACTTAATATCTGCTGAATCTGATTTATGTAGTTCGGGAAAATGTACGAGACTGACAGAACATTTTCTTGCAGCGCAAAACCAATTTGACCAAAACCGAAACCGAATGCAACCCGACCATCACTTTGGTTTGGTTATGTTCAGTTCATTTTTCAGCTTTTTTTATTTTATTTTTAAGTTTTAGACTGCAAGAATCGAGTTGAAGTAAACCCAATAAATAATTATATGATATATAATATATATTAATATTAAAATATTATTTTTATGCATAATTTATATACAAATTATATATGAAATTTAAATTATAATTTTGTCTTCTACAAATGAAAGAGTTCTATTGAGTTCAAAATTTATCCCAAACGAAACTGTACCCTTTTCATAAGAAATGAATTTACCCTTTACATCCCATCAAAAATTTATGCGTTTGTTTTTGCACGAGTTCAAAAGGAAGGTCGAGAGGGTGTGCTCTGGGTGCAGGGGGTAGCTTTTCTGCATGGTGAATTTAATTGAAGTGAAATATTGTCGGCAAAATGTTTCATCTCAGAAAAGATGAGGGTAATAGCTTGGAGCATTGCCCAGTGTCTACACCCCCCCCCCCCCCCCCCCTTCTCTTTCTCGTTCTCCCTGTCACCGGAGTCAACGGCATCATCATCGGAGGATTAAAGCGCATACAGTAGGACTAAACTGGTTAACAGTTATAAAATTTCAGGACTTGATTGGCGGAATTTTTAATTCAAGGACCAAGTCCAGCAAATAACCTAAGTGCAGACAATAAATCCATACTTAGCCAAAAATAAAAAAATAAAAAATGAAAATCCGACCACTGTGCCACGTCATCCTCTTAACGGTATTAATGTTCCATGTCATCAATAAATGGTGAACTTGTAGTGGAAAGAGGAACTTGGTTTAGATTTTCAAGGACTAGATTGGTAAGACATGGTTTAAGGATCCAAATAACCTAAGGTCACTACTGTAAGTACAAAATCACTTCCACACGTCCCCCCCCCCCCCCCCCCCCCCCCAACCAGAAAAAAAAAAGGCAATAGAGAAAAGAAACTAGGAGAGAATGCTGGCAGAAGTTTTTTTGCTGCCCACATGTTGAGTACGTGCTAAGCCATTCGTGAACTAGCATCGCGCGTGTTCAACACACGATTGGCCCTGTTTTTTATTTTTTATTTGTTTATCCTCCTTTTTTCTCTTTTGTTACATTACATGTTTGCCCCTAACTCTAGATTATTCCCTACCTTTTTGTCTTCTAAATATTTCAGAAACCATTTGATCTTCTCATTTTACCCTTCTCTGTCCTCTATGAATACAACCCTTTACCTCTTTTAAGACAACTTCTGAAACCTTTTAACTAGTCAAAACTCTTGCAAATTCTCCCCTCAAACCATACGTAGCCTCCAACAAGCAAAAAGGAAGCAGAAGGAAGAAGAATAACAAAGCTCAAGCTACTCAAGCTCTCCACTTATTTAAGGTATTCTTCCTTTTAGTTTTCGTTGTATCTTTTACATTCAATTGTCCCTTTTATCTTCTACATTAATTTCTTACATGCATAACCCTTAATCTACTCTCAACACTCTTTCTTTTCTTTTCTTTTGGATGAGTCTAAGCTGTTTGTATGCTTAACCCTCTTATCATTTTTACAAGGGTTTCGGGATCACATTTGAGATGTGCCGTAAGACCATAAGTTGATAGATTTCCCCCTCCATAGGAGTTTTGACAAGAATTTTCAGTTGATCTTGAAGAAGGTGAGAAGAGCCACTCTTAGATTTTTAGGACCTTGCGTATTTTAACCAAATTTTGTTGCGAGTGAATTGAAGAATTTCCAAATATCTACTTTTTAATTAAGCACCAATTGTAATCAATCGGACTTCCAAAAAGACACCAGACGTCAGAAAGTTAAAAAAAGCAAAAAAAGGTTTTTTAAGGAAAAATAATTCTGTCAGAAACAATATATGTGTGTGTGTGTGTGTGATTGTAATAAAATTTTCCGTCCGTCAGAAAAATTTTAAAAAACTATTTGAGAAATAAATTTTCGGACCGAAATCATCTATTGGATAATAAAAAAAATAATTTTTCTTTTTTCGAAGTATTTTTTTCTGACTTAAGGATTCTGTCGAAAATAAAAATATTATACTTTTTTTAGAAAAACCTTTTCGGCAAACATACTTTTTTTCTGACTTGAGGATTCCCTTCCCCGGCCACTCCATGCTCCGCCGCCATTGGTTGTCCTTTCTGCTCCACCGTCGCTGGACGTCCTCTCTGCTCCGCTGCCGTTGGCCAAGCTATTTAAAAGGTATTTATAACTTTTGTATTTTTTAAATAATGTTCTGTTAGTGTTTTTCTCCGGCTAATTAAATGGATTTGTAATGTTCTTAATGATGTTTTTTTCCCCTTCCTTTTGATGCATTTTTTATTTGCATTCTGAAAATTTAGTTACCGTACGTGAAAATCATAAAATGAATTTATACATGAATAATATTATAATTAAACATACAATCCAACTCTAATATACTATTTCATTAGATTTGCCTTCAATAAATTCCAAAAAATGAAAAAAAAATAAAATATAAGTTAATTTAAAAGTGTTAATTAATTTTAAAACCCGTGTTAGCTTCTATGCAGCTTCTGAAATTATAAGAACATATATTTTAATTTAAAATGTTCGGTTTGGATATTGGGTTGCTCAGTTTGCTTCTGCCGAACAAACCGGGATAGGTCCATCAGCCACGGCCCAAATAACTCGTCCAAGTCCAACTGCACTCTCCGGCCGTCTATTACCTGAAAAAATGTTAATAATACAAATTGTTATTTAACTAAAGAAAGGAAAATGTCTTCATTTCTGGGCACCTAAAACTTATATCACCTCAACATGAATACATTTAGTTAATTATTCAAAATTTTAATAGTTAATATATTTTAGTTTTGTTTAATTAGGCTTTTGAAGCTGTTAAATTGGCCTTAATCTCGTTAAATTGGGGTTAAGAATTTTTTTAAAAAAATTGGGCTAAGTTTTTAATTTTCAAATTTTAACAAATAATGAATTTGTGCAATTTTAGTTGACTATTTAAATAATAAAAATTCAATAGTTAATATTTTCTTAGTAAAAGTTTAGTTTTATTAAATTGGGCCTACGAATAGGGTTTAGTTTTATTGAATTAGACTTATGAATTTATTAGGCATATGATTGGTGTTACACATTGGATCTAGACCAAGCCGACCTAGTATCTAGCTCATTAGGTTGGGCCAAGCAGGACTGGGTTGGGTTGGCTGAGAGAGTAAGCATGTGGAACGTTTTAAACCAAGACAAGTCATTAGGCTGGACCCACGCTAGGGCGAGGGGGATGGGCCAAAGATTTGGGCAAGTTATGCTTCGGGTTGGCTGCTTCAGGAGCTTTCCATATGGTTTTGCTAGAAAAGGCCGATGGTCAGGGGCTTATTCAGTACTCAGGGAGGCCTATAGAGGCACCCAAGGAGGTCTACAACCATTGGAGGAGAGGAGCTGGATGCCGATGAGTCTAATTGGAGGCTTATAGATGGGTTTCATGCTCAAAAGATCAATCAAAGCTCTGAGGAGAATTTCTATCTGTCAGGAAACTCAGGAGGCAAAGGAGAGTTTGTTTATTTCCATCCTACCTAGAAGACGAATATACATGAGTTGTAGTTTAAGGACTTTGGAGTGTTAGTTAATGCATGTGTGTTGGTATGATAGCGCAATGGAACATTCTATTTAAAATTTTAAACCCCATAAATGCATAATTGATTTGAGAGGATTTTTGAAAGGTTTGGAATTAGTAAATGACTATTTGTGAGTTTAAGTGTGAGTAGATTTTGTATAAAAAAAAAATACTGCAGTATTACTGTAGTACTATTGTAGTAGGGCATTATAGAGCCCTAGGGGTTGCTCAAGCATGTTATAGCACATCTGAGGGCACTATAGTGCCCTAGTCATTAGAATTGAAGCACTATAGTAAACCCAAGCGTGTCTTGTGAGTTTATTCGTGATTTTCAAGGTTTTCAAGCCCTTCAAGGAATTCTACAACTTTTAGGACATCTTAAGGTTATCAAAAGGAAGCTTGGGGTCTCTTTCAACATACTCAAATTTATTAAAGCCTCGTTGAAGACTCATACAAAATTATTCAAGACCCCTTTAACATTGATTTTAAAAGCTTCTTGGAAGTATTGAAATCCTTCAAATACTGCAGATTTCATTTTAAATAAGAATTAATTATTCAATAATTGATTATTGTTATTTTAAAGTAAATAGTTGAAACGTTCCAACAATCGAGAATTAATGGGTGTAAGAGAAATCAAATTTGTCTTAATATCTTGTAAGGGTTTGAATAGATCTTTCTAATTTCAAATTTAAAAACATTTTGAGTTTTCATATTGATTTATAAATAATTTTTTTCTTATCACTAATTATTGATTGAATTTAGATTTTTATTATTGATATTGATGATTTGTTTCTGGCCGTTGTTTCCAAGTGATTATAGGTCAACGATCCAATTATGTGTTCATACTTAACAAACACCGGAAGAATAATATGTAGAAATTTAATGCAAACATAAAATAAAATTGTACACCTTTACAGCTTTCCAACCAATACTGAGTATGAGCAAATAAAATTCACGTCCATGAGACTTGAACATTCATGTGTTAGGAGTCCAATCGCTCTCATTTCAAGAGTATCCACAAGAGCCAATTAAGAGGCTCTTTTTATAGACCTCTCCACACATGAACTCTCTTATGC